TCGCTGACAAATACCACTTGAACAGCGCTCTCCAATCTTTCCTTCCTTTTCCCCAATTAATTAAGGGATCAATCGTGAAGAAAAGTGTGCGATTGAACCGATTGATATCTTGATTAATTTTTTTAATAGTGGAATAATATTGAATCGAGTTATTCGTTATTATTCCGTTCGAATAATCGATCGTCGCTAATTAATTTTTCCCATGATAACGTGTTTGACCACACGATGTTCACGGAAAGTCACTTATTTCGGTAAATTAATAACAAACAATGGCGGAAGATCTCTTAATTTCGGTACATATTCGGTACATATGATTAAAGAGAGTTAATCAATTCGTTTAAGATGCAAATGAAAGTTATATTATACGTTATATACGCGTATAAATATATAGTAATTATACATTATTCCCTTTATCTTGACCTTTTCAACGTTAATTAACAACATTGAGTTTCGATGCCTCGCCTCGTAGAAACGATTAACTTTTCAAACAGATTTTTAAAATCTCCAGTACCGACATTTAAACTTTTCATAAACATAAATGATGTATTGAGATACAACTTTTAATTACACGCGATGAATTTAAATAATAATAGCGATAACGGAAAAGGGGAGAAGTTTCAGTATTGAACTAATCGTTACATCGTAGAATCCGGCAGATTCGATCTGGGTAATGAAAATATCCCGTTTTAATTGGCGAGCAATTATATCTTTTTATTAAGAATCGATAGGGTCGGTATATTTTTTTACCATAGTTTTTAACCGGGCTAGAAATTAAGCGCAACTTTTGTCCGTTTATTCTCGTCGAGGTGAGATAAGGGGACCGTTAACACCGGAAGAAACCGCTGACTCTGGCAGCTTCTTTACTGGATTCGTTTGCTGTTCCAAGAATGAACGCGATGACGAAAGACTAGCCGAAGGAACGACACGAGCTACCGATTGTCCCTCCTCCTTTTATTTTTTCTTCCCGCCTTTTCTTTTCACGAGGTGTACGGATTGCTGCCACCAACGAGACCAACACGAAGAGAGAGAGAGAGAGAGAGACGGAGAGAGAGAGAGGGAGAGAGTGCAAAGAACTTGGAACGAGCTGACCCGGGAGAATTCCACAATTATCGCGAGGCTAATACGCGCCTCTACGATTCGTAGTCAGCGAATGCTTGTTTGCGAACGAGGACACCAAATAAATTTTGCACGTTTTACGATAATATGCCGGACGAACTCGTAACCTAGATTATATAAGTGTCTATTACATAATTTGAAAAATAATCGAATCGATCACATCGGTTGGAGAACGCTATTTAAAGACGCTCCAATTTGGAATTATGCAGTCGATCAGGTATTTCCATTCCATAAGTATGTATATATATTTAATTATCGTGAATATTGATATTAATTATAGTGAATATTTTAAAACAATTGTTGTTTATTATTTTACAGAATATGTAATATTTTTAAATTTAATAATAAATTTCATCGCATAAATTTTTATACACATTCAGTGTATATGTTATTCAATTATTTTATTTAAAATTGTAATTAATAATGTGTACATTTTATTAAAATAATATTCGTTTCGTTTTTCTTTAAATTATATATAATATAAATTAATTGTAAATTAACTGTATAGAAATTTTCTTAAATTCGATCCAAGACCGAGCTTTAAAAAGAGGTGGCAAGTTGGAGTTGATGTTAAAATTGATGTTAAATTGATGTTGATGGGGAAAATAAACGTTGTCGAACGTGGTGAAAGATGTCGTAATATTACGGTGGTTCGACTGGTATTATCAACTTGTATGCTAATGAATGTGCGTGGCAGTGAAGGCTGGTTTGCAAATGGCGGCCGTCTACCCTGTAGAAAGCGCCAGCCATTTCTACGCTACGATTTCTTCGTTTCGTGTCTCGTTTCTCGTATGAAAATATAAAATACGATCGATTTCCGTGCAAAATTTGAAAATTTCTTCCATTTTTTAAAAATTAATCAATCATCTTAAAATAACGAACGTATAATTTATCATGAATTTTATATATAACGATATTTAATTTCGCAGATAAGTTCATTGAAAAATTTCAGTGATGTTATGCGTAATTATTTGACGTATTTTTTCGTGCATAAAAAATAAATAATTTAAAAATTTATTCATTTCTTTACTATATATTATTTATTTATCGTTTTAAATTATTTGCATAATATACGCTTTGATTTATTACTTATTTTAACGAAAAAGAAAAACTTTTATTTTATAAATTCCAAATTCTTCGTGTTATTTATAAAGTTTAATGTAACCATTTTACAGACTGATGTATTTAATATTAAATTTTTAATGTAATCTCTCGAGATCGTTTTCGAATATTATATCGATATTAGTACATATATATTTATCTTATTACATTTTGATATTATATCCAAAAATTTGAAAAAGGAAATTTGAACAAAAAAATTATGAACAACAAGATTAATACAAGTACAAATAGAAGAAAAACGTTTTTTTCGAAATGAATAACATTGCAACACTTCAATCAAAAGCTGACATGTTTTTGAGCGTATTCAAGGATTTGAAACTCAGGTAGAGAAAAGTACTAAGGAACTAATTCCAATCTTCCTAGAAATCGGCTCAGGCCTTTCGAAATACAATCAAACTGACGCAGATGTTCTAACAATGCAGACAAGATATACCTGAATCTTTTGTTCGAAATTTCCCGAACGGAAATTTTTGACATGGACAAATGAAAACTTTTGAGAAATCGATGGCCGACAAACCTGAGTTTATTCTCCAACCTATCTTTGCTTGCTTATGGTCGATACTTGAAAAGGAAAGAAAAATGTTCCGAGAATATTGGCAATTGTTAAAAAATTGTTAAAAATTTCTCTAAAAACTACAATCTTATTTGTGAAACGTGAAATGGAAATAAGTGGAAAAAATTGGAAAGTGGAAAAAAATTATATGATATTTTTCTCGAAAACGAAAAATAAGTAAGTATTTATTATAAATTATTAAAATTTAAAGTAAAATACAATTCTATCGAAAAGATTTTACTTTAAATTTTTTATTTTTCAAGATATATAATTCAACTGTTCGAGATATAAATGATTTTAAATGAATTTCTCTTTGTAATATATCATTTGATCCAATCGAGTTTTCCACTAAAATTTCGTGTATACAGTCACCTACGTTACCGATATGGAAAAAGTTTGATGCGCGTTTTCACCAAAAGATAGAGCCACGTACAACGCTCGCGCGTATTTCGTGGGATATGTAATATCGTTTATCGTAATGTCAAACCTTTTTTTTTTACTATTTAATCATTAATTTAACATTCTTCAACTATATATATTCACTTATCGTATAACTATCATTATGAATATCTTTTTCCAAAGTGTAGTTTTAAAGAAATATACACTTGTTAGTTTGTAACGTGGCGATCTAATACGTCATTCGACGCAATAGTCCATTTATGTTTCGTTATATCTAATAAAAATATATGTTAATCGTTGTCTTATAATACTAAAAAGACTAAAATTCGTAATTATTGTTGACACACTTTTACTTGAAAACAAGCAATCAATCTTATTATGAAAAAACGCTGTTAGACTAGGTTATAATTAAAACGAACGTCGAATTTCGATATATAATATATCTATGATATGCAATAGCAATGCTGCCAACATTAAAACTAGTGTATGCTTGAAAGTTACGAAAAATTTTACTAAAATTATAGATTATAAAATATTAAATATTGCTGTTTAAATAAAAAATGTTAAAACGTAGATTTCAATTTTATGAAATTATTGCAATGTGATAATCTTCACGAAATTAAAATGTGTTTCACAAAGTGAAGTCGATTTGTTACTGAAGAAGAACAAATAACCAAAGATGAATTAATCGAATGATCAAATTGATAGAAGATCGAATGATTTTAACTAGTGATTATATTCTTAACCATGCAAATATACACACCAATGACAAACCATGATCGTTATACGAGGTCGAGAAGTGGCGGAAACATATAGGAGGCGGAGAGACGCACGCACCTCTCTCCGTGTGTGGAAAGTTTTAGGTAAGTTCAAATCGAATACTGAAATTCCACGTGTCTTCAAGAGTATGTCAAACGGGAAAAAGTGCTCACACATTCTGTGTATTTGCGTTAATGTGTTCTACACTATCGGTACGAAATTCGGGTTCCGTTTTTCCATCTTTAAATTCTATTGCTTGCGATAAATCGTCTTCATAACATGGACATGAATTATCTTTACCGACGAACCTCGAATAAACCGAATATGATTCTATAACCTAACCTATACATTTATATTATCGATGTTTGTAATATTATCACCATCGTAACGATGTATTTTCTGACGAAATTGAAATTTTAAAAAAAAATAAAAATTTATCTTCGGAAAAAGTTAAATCGTTATGTAATAACATTCTAAAATATTTTTGAATTTCCTTATTCGGTTTTATTTTCGATTTGTTTTTCATATATTATAGTCACGGAAATAGAACGAAAAAAAGTTGCCACTTCTCCACAAAACGATTATACCTTTATTCCGAGCTATTTATGGTCTCGGAAAAAAAATTCCCGTATAATTGAGCGTAACAATATGTTTTCTGGTTTCCTATAAAATATTTTCTCCGATGGCTACCCTATTTTTACGCCACGGTATGTTGGTATTATTGTGACACGTAAATTGTATCTACAACAGTGTGTCTAAAGAGTGTCCACGTGGACATTTCTTTCGGCCGACCTTTATCGTGTGCCTCTTTCGGGTGAATCACTACTATAATATTACAGTTCGGTGATCCATATTTTCGCATCTATTTACTCGTGATTTTTAAAAAAATTACCAATCTGTTTGTCTTTTCTAGTTTAATGATTCATCGTTCTAATATTACACGTATTTAAAATAATTTTTAAAATAAAAAATTTTTTCTATTATAAAAATTATTTCTTCTAAAGAAGATTGAGAATTTTTAGCGATACATAATCGTTCTAAATGTAGTTCAATTGATGAGAAATATTTTATTTTTACAATGAATTTTATTTTGAAACAATGACATATTAAATTACTACTACCATGCGACAAATGTTCTAGCATATCGTTGCGGGCATATCGCGGACAGGCAACTGAATTAATTACAACGCTCGAGACGCTTCCCGGCGAAGTTAAATAAGCGTTAACGTTGAATTTTCATTTCCCGCCATGTTGACGCCGAAACCAGCCGAATTTCAGGGACGATCGCAAAGCTGTGCCACGTGCGATATCAAGGCTATATTTCAACAATAGGAAAAAATGAAAGTAGTACGATAGTTGCACAATATTGAATCAGGAAGTTGAATCAGAAAAGAAGAAAAATATATTATTTATATAAAAAACGGTAACGTTAAAAATATTGAAACTGAAAATATTTAATTTATATTTATTTATGAACTAATTGGAAACTTATTTTTCTATTTATTAATATCAACATAAAATTCTAGAAAAACAAATCGACAAAATAGTTCAACTTGTAAAGTTATATATTTGTATACTACCACTAATATGAAGATATTTTACGAAATGAATCGGCTATTACGAAAGTTTCAACTTTGATAAAACTAATATGACACACTCAGCTACAAATTTCCGTTTTAAAATCTAAATTTCTTAAAAATAAATAGAAATCTAAATCTTTTATATCCATGGTCAACAAGTTTATAAGAAGAATTAAAGTAATTTCATACTTGTCACGCACGAAATGAAGTATGTATACCGGAAGTCAATGTTCTAAGCTTAGTTAGTCAATCGGATTACAATACACGAAACTAGAGACATAGAAAGGCCATGAAAAAAATATATTTACAATGAACAAAATATTTAGAAGAAGAAAGATCATAGAAACAGTAAGAACATAACGTAAATCACATGATCGAAGAAGCTCATGGAAAAATTAAGTATTATTTAATTTAATTATCATTAAACATGATTTTAAAACCTTATGTAACAACAATAGAGAATAAAATAAATGAATTTCTTTCTCTCATCATATAATAAATTGCACAAAAGATAATACCCCACAATAAAACCGTTAATATTTCATTGTTTTTCAAAAATTCCTTTCGTTTATATGCGTATATATATGTATATGTGGTATGTGTAAATGTTGGCGATGTTCTGTTGACATGAAGAACCGTTAGAAGGATTCTAATATTCGTTCATGTGTTATTACTAATCTATTCCCGAAAACGAGTTTACAACGAACGCACTATGAAGTTTCCAACATTTAAAAATACCAAATAACGATCTTTTCTAATAATATGTATTGAACGATGTCATTAGAATGGATACTAAAAATTTTAGGAATAATCGAGAATAAAAAAAAATAATTTTCACTGATTAGATATATTTCCGCAAAATATTAAAGCAAGTAACGACTAAAGCCCTTATGCTAATTACACGAATATAAAATGAAGAAAAATAAATGGAAAAAATAGGTAAGTTGAATCGATAAGAAAAGGCGCGAAAAGTTACAGCGCAGAGCCTGATCGGTGAATAGTGTCAACGAATTTCTAACCTCACTGGAAACACGATACAAAGATTCGTAAATAGAGGATGATAAATTTACCTTGTCGCATCGCCGTTTTTCTCCTCGATTTCCAATCGCTCCATTTCTTTTTGTAACATGCCACCTTCCGCAAACTTATCCAGGGACATGATTTTTTTTTCTTAACGTTCGTTGTAAATTTCACACAAAAACTGATGAATTATTTACAACAATACTCGACGTGGTTTTTAGCACTGTTCAATATAATATATATTATATATTATATATGTATATATAGATATATATATATTTCTTTTCTTCTAAATATCTTTTAATGCAGCTTTTCGCCGTTAGCTGCCGCTAATCGACTGAGGTAGACAAACACTGGCACTAAACACTGGCTGATTTCTTCGTGCGACCGAACGAGCACGAATGAAAGAGAGGAGTGTAAAAAAAAAAGGATGAAAATAGGACACACGACGATGTGTACGTGACAAAGACCGATACAAATTCTTTTTCGGTTGTCCGTACAATAGCGTCCTCTCTTATTTCCTTAATTTCGTATTCTTTCGCGCGTTTCTCCCTCTTTTTCTTTCTACGGTACGCTTCTCGTGTCTTCGTTGAACACGATATTTATTTCACTCTTTTTCTCGATAATAACACACGATTACGCGTAATATGATGTAACGATTATTAAAGATCTCGCGAGACGATGTGACAAATAAAAATAAAAAACCGAAATAAGTAAAAAACAATCCACGCAATAACGTTTGCAACTTCCTTTCAAAGAAGTGTCTCGTTCGTCTCGTTCTCTCAACAACCACCGTGGAAACTCGCGCGGGTGGAGCAGTTTTGTACTTTCCTCCTTGCCTCCTTGCTCCTCGGCTTTCTACTACCGTAGTGTCCTCCTCCCCTTGCTCTTTCCACCACTTCGTCCTTCTTTCTCGCACGCTGCCTTCACTTCTCCTCTTTCTCTAACCAACGAAGAAATCCCTCCACGTATCGAAGACGCACGAGCACTTTTACTAACTAAACGGAGGAGACAGCCGAGAGCTTGTACGTGATTGGTCGTTTAAGACGATTCCGGGACCGTGCGTTATCCGGTTCCCGCTACTGCTCTCTCTCGGAGAATGATGAACACCGTTTTACACGATGACACAACGGGTTAGAAACGCCGGTAGAAAAAAAGATACGTCTCTGCAGAATTACGTTGGTCCTTTTTTCGTATGTAACACTTATATATATAATATATATATATATATATATCTATATATATTATATTATATATATGTATATTTCAAACGCACGTGGATTAATCGGTCGTATAATAAAGGTATATAACGGTGCTCTGTTTTACTCTGTCGAATACGAAGTGACACGATACCCGGCTTCCGTTCCGTGCGACCGCGTTTCAATATATTCGTAAATGACACTGGCCTTAACTTCGCACGTATACGTGGGTGCGTCCTCTCTCTGTTCTCCAGTTACTCTTTCCCTCTTTCTTTCTCTTTCTCTTTTCCTCCCTTTGTCTTTTCCTCTCTTTCGTTCTCCACTACCCCTTTCTCCGTTTTTGCCGGGCGTTTCGATCAACGTTGCTTGCGATCGCGTCGAATGCGCGACGATCAATGGGGCATAAATGCGCGTTGAAACAGAGAGATTCTCGTCCGAGTTTTCCGTACACCTATCGGAAGCGCGAACGCAAACGGGAATACGGAAGAGAAAACACACACGTCTAAGAGCAGCGTGCTACGCTGACGGCGGTTATATCGGCCAGGATATCTATCCAGAACGCGCGCTGGGAACACTGATATTATTTTTATAACAACGCGGTGCGCGGCCGTCCTAGGCCGCGCCCAATATACCCCCACCCTCGACTAGGTTCCCTCCCCTCCACTAACTGTTTCTCCCTCCCCAGTTCAAGGGGAAGCTTCGCTGTTCGTCCCCACCAAAGACATAGCATCGTACCGGCGTGTGAGACTCGAGAGAAGGGTGAATAGGAAAAAGTTCTCGACTATCCTGCGTGGGTATATCAAAGCCGGAACATTTTCTTCGCGTGAACACCATGTTGCTTCGATCGTTTTTTCCATCGCCATATTTAAGACGAATTCTTCACTTTGAATAAAGGTACATCCGATATATTCCATCGAATTATTAAACGAGTATTCATTCTGTCGTATTATACCACGATTGGTGCACCACGTTGTTCGTGTACAGAGGCGCCATCTGATGGACGCCGGTAAACACTAAAAGTTATTTTTCCACTAAAAGTTGTCGCTCCATTCTCATTCTCCTTTATTTATGATAATTTTGCGAACAATGTAAAGCTATTAGAGGAGATAAAAGTCGAGTCGAATTGATATTTTTTTCTAATTTTCTCTACATTATCATGTGCTTTTTGATATACATATTACGATATATATATTTTTTCATTTGTCAAAAAAATAAACAATTTAAATAAATATTAATGTTATACATTAAATTAGATATATAGAAATATATTTTAATAGAAAAATAAAAACAATTTAAAAATAAATTATAATCTAATAAAACTTGGAATTAGAAAATTCTAATTTTCAATATTTGCTTCAATATCACTTGGTAAATAACTAAGAAATGTAACGCTTCACCCTTAGGCATCTACGGCATCAAGAGCACTTCTCTGATCAACTTGTAAGCTGAAAAGGGGGAGATTACAAGTGCCCAACCACTGTGACTTTTTAAAAGACATAGCTGTACGTTATTTCACGTGCATTTGGCTTACGTTTCATTAGCGATCGGATCGGTAAAGTACAGAAGAATCTACACATAGAGTTTTACCGAACGTTGGAAGTACAAAAAAAGGGCAAAATCAATGAACAACAAAATACGGATTCCCAGTTCTCCGTGGAACCACAGGATTGATTCCGTTACGGAGGTCTCTTTGTTCGGCCAGGTAGAAAGGAAGGATTCGCCTTTCTTTTGTGCATGCCTGCAGGTATATGGGTGCAGGTCGACCATGGGTATTCGTGGCTTTTCTGCGCTCACGTTTCATCGTCATTATCTTTGGCAATGACGAGGGTGTTATCCTTGAACTAGATTTATCATTCACAGAATCATAGCTGGATAGCACTTGAATTTTTGATGCGTTCAAACGCCTGCCATAATTACGTTTCGTTATGCCCTTTCAAGACTGAAAGCAATCCTGATACGCCCCTTGTTAAAATATACCTTTTATGCATCGTACGCATCAATTCATAACCATAAAGCAATTAAAATTTTATATTGACAACAATTTTAATTGTATTCGTAATTGATTATCTAATTACTTCTTATTTCATTAAATTCGTAATTGAATTTGATTTTAATGAAACTTTGATCATTGACAATTTTCATTATATGTACATTTTTAAATATAGGAAAATTATTTATCTTATATTTATCTTCTAATCAAACATAAGATTATTATAATTAAATTTTTTGCAAACATCTTTTGCATTTGAACACATAACGACTCTAATTCTCCATTCGAATATATCGAAAAATTAATAAGAATATGAAATAATACGATATAAATTTGTTGAAATATTTGAAAAATAAGAAATAAAAATGTAAAAACGAAAAAAATGATGTAATACAAGTGTCTTATAAATTCACATATCCCGAAATATAAACATAATTATTCGTGCAATGACCTAGCATCGAAATAGTTATGCATAACATCATAATTTTTGAGACAAGTTCTACTGGGATTTGATTTAAATGGCACACCTGTACAACTTGTGCCATGATCTACCAGAAGAAAACAAATGATGATTACAAATCACCGAATTACGCAAAAGGGGTTAGAGAATAAAAAAAAAAAAAAAAGAGAA